TACTCTCCCACAGCACTTCTTAAAAAGATCGATCCATGAAACATAAGAGACACTACATCTAGTCTATAACCTGAAATTTTTGAAACTATACATGGTAATCACATTCATAACCAAAATAACAGAGCTATACCAACGTTATTTATATATGTTGTTGTAAAATAAGTTTAAAAAATTAAATACCACTACTTCACTACCTTTGATCAAAAAACTACTTCACTACCGTCATCAGCCTCATCTTCATCATTTACCCCGAAATTAACTTGTAATAGCTCTAGTCTAAATGCGCTACCGAGAGAAAAAGAACCACAAAGCATTCCTTGGGGATTATTACATTATCTGTAGAGACCAATGAGAGTTGATATTTAGACCATGCTTATATCAATAGTTAAATACACTATCTGCGAGCCTCTTTTTTTTTTTTGTTTTGAGAAAGCTATTTGTGTACCTTGATATAAAACATTTTCTTTACCTCTCTCATTAGCTAAATCGCTATTCCTCGAGCCTGAGTGTTTCAACTATTACCACGTTAGTATTCAGCCCCCAAGCCTCTCTTGTTCTTCCTGTGCAAAACCTCCTTTGCTACAGCAACAAACCAGAATCATAAACAATAATAAAGATCATATATACAGTCAATATCAATCAACTGTGAATAACGGTTTCAGTGAACCTATATATTACTTCACATATTGTGCTGAATAATTGCATTAGTTGCATTCAAATTCTTCAGATTACACAACATTCAACAGACAAATCATCTAATCAACAACTCAGCTCTTGGTCTATCTAAGCATGGCAAAAGGTTACTATCTACACCTGTCTAACTATAAGCATGCCCACGATTAGTGTAGTCTCCAATTCCTTTTTCAATGATATTAGTGACATTGATTCTTCCTCTCCTAAAGAGAGTATGTGAGCTTGTTCTCACCTCTAGTGCAGATAATTTCACAAAATCATCAAAACGATCAGAAAATACTTTCAGATTTTTTTTTTTTTTAATGAGAAAGAAATTCTCAGATATGAATATGAGCATCCATGGAGAAAAGAAACTAAACCTGCTATCTTTTCACTTTCCGGTTAGGCTATCTACAATAGATGATTAAATATTCACATTCATATCGCCTGGTCAAATAAAATAGTGAATTGATGATTAAAGCTTTTTTTTAATTAAGCTACAGTATAATTTAAGAAATATAATTTGATTTAAGACCATAAAAAGCTGAAAGAAAATCATTGCAAAAAAATATTCAATCAATTGAAATCTATCTTTAATTTCTTAAAATCAAGAACACTTACCAATAAATTATTGTGGATGAAAGCTCTAGGTTCCAAAGAAAGCACTTCAGTCCATTGAAATTCTCTCTCTTCTGATCCATAGAAAAAAATTAAACAATTTAAATCAAAAGTCTAGAATCCAAGACAATTCATGAAACTCACAGTAGCAGCTATAAAATAAGGGATATCGACCAGAGAAGACTCAAAGACTCATCTTTGTTGATTGGAAGAGAATTTAACCCTAGAAACCCAACATCATTCACTGATCCACAAAAAAAAAATTGCTAACTTGAAAAGCATGTATTGCTTTGCAAATAACAAACAATATATATCTCAAGAAAAAATAGACAAATAATAGTCAAAGAAGTGAATCAATTCAAAGACAACATAACAGATCATACCAAGAAGAGATTTTGATGATTGTGTCATCGTCGCGCCTTGATTAGTAAACAAACAGACGCATGATATAATGTTAATGTCGTTTGAACGTGTGTGCTGTTTTAAATACGTCCGAATAATTCACTAAGAGATCAGATAGAACACAATCTGAAAACCATAAAGTAAATAGATAATTTAACAACAAAAGAAAAAAAAGTTCGACCATAAAAAACCAACATGTTAAACCATTAAACTAACGTGTCTTAGTTGAATAAAAAGAGCACAAATCAAAACAAAACAAACCTAAATGAGTTAAAAGAACTACAAAGTTATCAACCTTCTGAAAGTTTCTTCATCATGACCGATTATATCCACTTGCCTATAAACCATGATTGCTGTGACCTAAGAAAATAGATAATGACAAAATCAGAACTACAAAATCAGCACCATTACATTGAACATATCAATCAGAAACATATAATACTATAGAGATACAGATATGCACAAACTATAAATGAAATAAAATAAAAGAAACTCTATTAAACCCTAGAACAAAATCAAAATCTAACATGTAATGAATATGAGAAAAAGAGCAAAGTATTTATACGAAAATACTTCTAGGGTTTAAGGGGTTTTCCTTTTTTTTTTATAATAATTCTACTGCATGTTTTTATATGATCTAAAAATCAATTAGAAGAAACGAAGCGAGAGGAAATATAAATAGACAAACTAAGAGTTTTTAGGCCCTTAATTAAGAACCATTAAGAACCATATATAAAAAAGAATTTGACTAAATTGTAGAACAAAAACCAAAAAAAAAAAAAACTTACTATACGTATCTAATGAATATGAAAGGAATATTGAGTTACCTTGATATACAGATTTTAAATCTTAAAAAAAGGCAAAGAAAAATAATCAGAGTGTCAAAGAAAACGAATTCAATCGTAGTAGTTAGAATAGAAGAAATAAAAGATACACAATTCAATGGCATAGCATACCTGTTTTATTGGTGATATCAACGAATACGAACATAGTTAAGATTGATTTTTATAGTATGAGTGATTGATCTAATTCTTCTGGTTTCTCCTCATCGTCAATTTCTTGTATTTGGTCTTCCTCATCTTCTACCTTTTTCTTAGAACCCTTGAAAAAAAAAGAACACGTAATTAAAATCGACTAAGAACAAAAGCAGAAATATGGAAGGGATGCGCAAGTCCACACCGAATTATTATTTGCTGCCAATCATTGTTCTCTTCTATTTATTTAATCCATATATCTTACAAAAATCAAAATCAAATGATCAGTTTCATAGCAAATACAACAAAAACAAATATATAATTACAAAGAAATAAATATCGAAATCCTAGAGCTAACAACAATACACAGAACACAAAATAAACAAAAAAATATGTTGATGCGGTGATGACCAATAACAAAACCCTAGAGCTAACAACAATACACAGAACACATAGTAATCAAAAGAGCAAAAAATATATAAAGAAAAGCAATCAAAAATATTGATAGAGATTAAACCTAAAGAAAAAGCACTAAACAGAAATCAAACTAAGGAGGTCGATATCGTGAAACAAATCATAGATCAAAAACGTAAAAAAGAAAAAACTTGTGACTAATATGAGAGGAGACACAGTATTTATAGAAAAAGTGATGTAGGGTGAATACTTTTTTTATTATTATAATTTTTGATATCATCAAATATTCTATTTTGATTATTCGATTGTTATGTAATCCAAAAAACCTAGATACGATTTTATCTTTTTGTTAATCAAATATTTGATTATTGACATTGAGAAAAAACTTCCCTTTTGAAAAGTGATAAATTAAGGTATGTCATATTCATGTTTTATAAATGTATAATAATTACATAAAATAAACAAATATAAAGTTTCCAAGTTTCAATCGCAAGATTTTTTTTTACAAACACAGATTAATTAAATAAGAGAAATAGGAAAAAAAATTGTTTAAAGAGGCAGAGATTCAAACTTGTTACATGTTGGTTAAGAAAGTTAGGCCACCAACCAACATAGCTAACATGTTTTTTTTTTGAAAATTCATTAGCCACTAAATTTATATTATACTGTCAATCCGAAAAATAGGCTTGAGACAATTAGAATAGAGTATTTTCATTAATGACATAATAGAGTATTTTCATTAATGACATAATAGAGTATTTTCATTAATGGCATAAGTGTAATTTAACACTTTCCACCAAAAAAACATAAAAATAATAATTAATTAACAACAGCCAATCAAATTATAACAAACATTGACCAATCAGAATGCTCGAAATTCATTAATCAAAACGACATCCCAATCTGTGCATTGAACTACAGCTCGATTTACTTTGCAAATAATATAATGATTGAACCACAACTCGATTAATATAATGATTGTATTACACTATTACTTGACTTTCATTTTCAGATTCTAACAGCATAATTCTAATTATTCAAAAAAAAATTTTTATAATAATACAATTTAGAATAACAATTTGCTTTAGTGTAGAACAACTTTCTTTTTAAATAATATATAAATCCATATAAATTATAATATATGATATCCAACATAAATATACTTGGTTTTAACGTTATTGATTAATTTCTGCAAACTTATATTTTCTTGAATTTAACTTTGAGTTGTGCACTTTGCGAAAGAGTAAATGTTACATAATTAAAAAAAAATGATAAAATGATTGAAATCATAGATAATAATAGAAATTTTATTCAAATGGTTTACAGAAATGATGGATTCAAAATTGATCTTCAGTTCATTTCATAATTAAGGCGAACGGACAATGAATGTAGTTTTGCTTTCTAATGAGTTTTGAATTTAAATTTTGAACAATATGTTCAGATGTGAATTTACTTGAACAGAATTGTACTTGACGTATCTTGGTGAAGCTCATGAAGGTCTACTCGTCAGTAGTTGCTCAGATAGTAATGCCTCTTTTGACAGTGACAGTAATTGTTTTACATGAAAAATATTCACCTCAAGTAGAGTCAAAGAGTATATATATTTGCTCCATTATGGTCACACAGCCCAACCATGGACCAAACTGCTGTGGTGTGAGAGCATAAGCTACATGGTGACCTAAACCAAGTAGTTTGTTTAGGAAGCATTGTCGATCAAGAACCATTAATGGAACATATATAGGGAGGTTCTTGGCCAGGAACCCGGTTCACCGGTCGACCAAAGGGAACCACAGGAAAGAAAAATGAAACAAGTGAGTTTAGTGTCACAGACCAAAATACAAAGAGAAGAGAAATAAGCCAGGATCGGGAGTGTTGCTCAATTTTTAGGACACTAAACAAGAAGTCATAACCACACTAATATATAAACTGATGGCAGTAGCCAATTAGGAGAGTTGAAATTAAGAAGCTAATGTACAGAGAAATGCCAAGCAAATGTAGTCTATATATCAAGGATGACCAAAACAATACCTATTTTACTAATATGAGCTTTCTTTCAGCAAGCAAGCAAGTGAGATTTGGAGACAAAAGCAGCAATCGCTTGCAGAGCAACATCTTCAACTTGATCTTGTGTTAAACCCTTTGTTTCGAGGTGCTTCTTCGTAATCTCCAAGGAGTGATCTCCGCCATCGATCACATGCAGCTCAGTCACAGTTTTCATATTGCTGCAAACAGCTTGGAGCTTATCCAGAGGACACAAAGGATCTTTGCTACCCTTTTTTTGAGATACAAAAAAAATCTCAGTAATGATGATGATGATCAATTGATTTATTTTCCTTTTATATAAGATCATCATGTACTAGCTAGAGTTGTAATATTTGCTCTCATTATGCATATAATTAAAGGTACCTGAACAAAAATCACAGGGACTCCCATTTCCAACAAGGTCTCATCTCTGATTGCTCCATTCATGCCCTGAAGATTAGCCAAAAATAGTAACTCGAATATTTATACTTTTGGATTGGTCATTCATTCAGACAAAAGAAAATGCGCGAACGTAAACCTTAAGCGGATATCCCAAACATATCACAGCTGAAACTGTAACGTCTTCACTCACAGCTACCATACAGCTTACTCTGCAAAAGCATAAGAAGACGCAACATTCAACATCACAAAAACAGAACAACATATGTGTGTGAGAGAGTGAGAGAGAGAGAGAGAGAGAGAGAGAGAGAGAGAGAGAGGACAAATTAAAAAAAAAAGCTGCTTTACCTCGAACCCATTGATTTGCCAGCCAATATCAAAGGATGACCAGGGAATCTAGCCGCGGTTTCTTTGACAACATCCACATGGAAACTGACCAGTTTTTCTGCCTTTGGAGGAACTTTTCTTTTCCCTCCAGCAATATCTACCCACAAAACTTAGCAATCAGTTGATTAAGTGTATAAATACAACTTTGATAGAACCCAAAATTCACTCACAAGGGTAATCAAATGTGACAACTTGTCCAATGTCTTCTTTATCATCTCCTTCCACCGAATCATCCAGCCGGAAGATGAGGGAGCACCGGCCCCGTGAGCAAATACGACGACCGGTGAACATGGCTTCTCTGATTCTTCATTTCTCCTTCTTCTTTTCTTCGCTTCCATTGATGAAACCTGGAGATATCTCTACACTATTCAAAGTCAAAACCCTAGGAGAAAGGGGAAAAACGACTTGGTTTTCGCGCCAGATTATAAGCGTCTGCTCCGGACTTTGGACGCTATAATTGGGCCAACATGTTAAAATTGATAATAATTGATTAAAAAAAAAGTGAATTGTTGAGAATTATTTAAAAAAGTTTAAAAAATAAAACAATATTTATAAATATATAAAAGGGTTTATCCAGTATCGACACATCAATTTCTATTTTTTCACAATAAAATAAACAATAATCATATATAAAAAATATATATATTTATGTGTCCAACTTTTAACTATACATAACAAATCATTGAATTTGAATTAACTATTTAAATTATTATAAAATAAATAGAAAATAAACAAAATTTAAAATATTATAAACATTTAAATATTATATAATATAAAATTTTAAATGCATGAATGATTTAATCTTTATTTCCAAACTAATGAAGATAATTACATTTAATGCAAGTGAAAAAAAAATATGAGATATGATAAGTTAAGAAGTTTCAAATAACTGAAAAAATAAAACTCCAACCTATAAAATCATAAGACACAAAATAAATAGAGAGAGAAGAAAATAGAGAAAAACAAAAAGAAAAATTTACAAAAATTAAACATATTAGAAAACATAAAAAATCAATAATAAATTATAAAAAGCAAAACTTAAAATAGTATATCAAGAAAGCTAAGATTAAGATTTAGATGAATTAGTAAAGTATAAAGAGTGAAGATAAATAGATATATATATAATAATTCAAAAAAAAAATTATGACAATTTATCATTTGAAAAAGCAGATTAATATTTGTCCAACTATTAAAACAAGAAAAATGATAGTTTAAAACTTTTAAAATTTGTGTAACATTAGAATTTGGATGAAGGAATTCAGAAAAAAATATATTGGATGAAAATGATTATTATGGTTATAAAAAATTATAAAAATAATACCAAAAATATGAATAATTGAATCTAAGATTTAAAAATATAGAGTTAATATTTATTTACAAAACAAAATAAAATAACATCAGTGTGTAATCTCCTTATAGAAAAATAATTCATAGATAATATTGAACAACTTTAATTATTGAAACACTTTAATACATTTAACATCTAAACCAAAAAAGAAAAAAAAAATGGAAAACTATTTTTATCCATTTTGTCCATGTTACAAATAATTACCCTGAAAATGAGTCCCGGAGAAATCGTCAATGATAGTAAAACACCGTTTATAGGCAGATGATTATCTTTTACGGGCTTCCCTCTCATAGACTTTTATAGTATTTCTTTTGCTTATTTTCAAGAATGGCAAAGCTCACCGTTACCGTCACCGTCACCGTCATCTTGTTCACGTTGGCTGTCTCCGTCGTTTCCTCCAAGCCGGAGAAAGAAATCGTAGCCGATCACCTTACCACTTTCTCAGCCGAACCCGATCCAGTTACCACAAACCCAACTTCTTCCGATGACGTCACTATCCCGGTGAATTTCCATCCGATCAATCGTCATTTCCCTAGACGTCCCTTGATGACGACGGCTCCTTTCAACCACCGCCGGCACGAGCTTTCGCGGCGAGGCCTCCAGATCCCTTACGGCAACGACATGATCTTCTCCGGCGAAGAAAAGGCCACAGGTACCGATCCTTCGTCAGACGGCGTGGATATCCCGGCGATCAAGATGTTTGTCGGCCCATTCGCGTCGGAGGAGACAAAACACCATCCCGGTCGTGAAATTGATTCCGGCGGCGAGGTCATGATGATCACGGTGAAGTTGATAAAGCGCCAAGAAGAAGGAGAAAGTGAAAGAGAGAACATGTTCAGGACAAAGATTCGCAAGTTTCTCAACCATTTGGTCTGAATCTGAACAAGACGACGACTCTAGTTTGTGTTAGAAAAAACAAAGCCTTGTGGTAAAACAAATAGCTTTGCTTTGCTTCCATATGATGTGAAAAATGATGAAGATGATTTCATGTGTCTATATAATAAAAGTCAGTAGAAGATGTGTTTTTTTAAGAACTTTGATTCTATAAATTTGCAGAGGTTACAAAAGGGTAACAACAAACTTACATTACAATAGATGTCGTCTCTGAGCTTTTAAGAGTATAATCATCCGCCTTGTTGGGTGGTTGAGGCCAGCTCAGGGCAAGCCGTGGGAGTGACTTTCTCGGCGGCTCCAACGACATCTGAGCATTTCCATATCGGAGAACTTTTGGTTCCGGTGAGTGTGACATTGGAGAGGCATAGATTGGTGAAAGGAGAATCTTTCAATCCCTGAACCATGCCAGCTCGCTCGACCTTGATGCCCCAGACGTTCTTGATCGTTATGCCACTTACGATGGGAAGAGCGGAAGTGTTGAACCTATCGTCCGGGTGGTCTCCGGTGTTGCCAGAGATCTTAATCCCGGTCCGAACTTTCTCCATGTGAACCCCTGAGATTGTGATCCCATGGACGCTTCCTCCTCGGCCAATGTTCGTCTTGATGTGGATGCCGATCCCGGAACTGTACAGAGTGATGTTTTCGACCGTGACGTTTTGGATTCCGCCGGAGGTTTCGCTTCCGATGGCTATTCCGGCGAAAGGGGAAGATCCGGTGATACGGCGGATGGTGATGTCACGGCTTGGACGGTTGTAGGCAATGCCATACTCGTCCCAACCGCTCTTCACCGCAACAAGGTCGTCGCCTGTGGATATGTAGGAATCTTCTATACATACGTTTGAGCTCGAATCTGTGGCAAATTGAGTATTCATGAGTATCAAGACGTAATCTCAAGTAGGAATATGAAAATAGATGAAACCTGGATCAATTCCATCGGTGTTTGGGGAATCAGTTGGAGCGAGGATGGTAACATGATGAACTACGACACCACTGTAAATAAGAAAAGAGAGCTAGTTCTAGTTACTTAATCACCAAAGTGCAGATTCACAACGAAAGTGAGACAAGGAAAGAGAATTGTCAAAACCTGCAATAAACAGGATGAAGTGTCCAGAAAGGGGAGTTCTGAAGAACAACGTGAGAGATGACGATGTTACTTGAATTCTTGAACTCGACGAGACCCGGCCTCGTAAACTTTAGGGTTCCATGTCTCCACATGTTCCACCAAGGCTCTCCTGCACCATCAATCGTCCCGTTCTTGCCTAGGAAACGCATTAACACAACAACCAAATGGGTTCTCAACATTTTCAGGAAACAAAAAAAAAAGAAGACAATCTAATAGAAAGACTTGGACTTTTAAGCAAAACCCCATATACAGTACCTGTAATAACAACGTCACTGAGTCCATCTCCATGGATAAAGCTAATATACCTTCGTCCAGGTCGCTCCCTTCCTCTGCCATAAGACGGCAAGGGATCTATCAAAGGCCATTTCTCCGTATCCTGTATATCCAAACAAGCATTTGTCATTGACATTCTATGATTGATTTGATAATACATCCATAACACTAACCCCCCAAAAATCGAAAATCTCAAATGTACAGAATTACACAGGTCAGAACAAGATATGAAAGCATCATGTGCGTAACTAACAGGTTCAAATTATCAAACATTTGGCATTATAATGCATTTAAACATCAATCACTCACAGATTCACTGTTTCTAAAAAATCGATCATGAATCATCATCATCATAGAGAAGCTCTATAAACAAAACAGTGCCCCTAAACCAAACTATTCATCTTAGTGAATCAGACAGTATCACAAAAGGGTTAATTTAAAGCAACCTGAGCGGCTTTGATAACGGCACCGTCGGCGAGGTAAAGAGTCATGTGGCTCGTAAGGTTGAAGCTCTCAGTCAAATACACACCACGAGGCACGTACAGAAGTGCTCCATCGCCGCCGCTTCTGTTGCCGGTTCGTATCCGATCAATCGCCGCGTTAAACGCATTGGTGTTCGAGGTCCTGCCGTCACCGACAGCGCCAAAGTCTGATATCGATAACATCTCGCTCCTGTGCCTCGTCGGAACTATCCCGGAGCACGTATTAATCGGATCTCCTCCGAGCGAGAGATGGTGAGGGAAAACAGCAGAGAGCAAGAACAACATTACGCAAACAGAGATCGGAGCTCGAGAAATCCTCATGGCTTTGCTCCACTAAGAGACGCTAGCCTTCGCCGGCAGAGTCGAGAAGCGGGTAGTAAATCGGAGAAATTTGATTTCAGAGTGGATCTTGCGAGAAATCTATCCGAGAGAGAGAGAGAGTAAATGCGTATAGCTAAATCTTAAGGGAAAATCTTAATGCCAAGAAAGAAAGCCAAACAAAAAAACAAAAAAAAAAGGCAAAGAGCAGTGGGGACAGCATAAAATTTACAGTTTTGAGTTTTAACTACATTTTGGAACGTAACAAAAATTATAATAAATTTGAAAAGATTTGCAACAAAATCTTGGAGTCACATTGAGTCCCCCATACATTTGGAGTCTTGAGCTGCAACTTTTCCTCGCTTTCTCTAATCTGATGGTATTATTTTCCACTAGGAGACAACCCGCGCATATATGCACGGATCTTATTTTAATTTATATTTTAAATAATATATTTTTATAATTTGTATTGAATTTTATGTTTATAATCAATATTTGTGTTTAAAATATTATTTTTTCTTCGTTTTTTTTTTGATGATATATTATTTGTAATCTCTTTTACACCTAATTGTGCTAAATAGTATAATTTTTCTTACAAGATAATAAGGAATTAAAAACTATTATTTTAGTTTTTGTATAAAAACGTAATCGTTCACTTAAAAATATACGTTGAATATCAGAGATAAATATTTATTTGTTATTCGTTTCTCATATTTTTTATTCTTGTAAATCTTACTAATATAATATTTGTTAACTTTCTTAATTTTATATTTTGAATTTTATTGATTCCAACTTTTTTTAATTTAAAAAAGCATGTATGATATTTTTATGTAGACGCCATTCTTTTTACTATTATTTTTAATAACTTTTTAATCATTTATTTAATAATTTTTGTGTTTTATAATTTTATTAGTTGGAGTTTTATAAAATATTATTTTAAACTTTAAACTTATTAAGTTTTCTTATTTTTTTTTACTTGCATTAAAATTTCAATTATATTTTTAAATTGAAAATGAAGTAACGAAAATAGAATGGTGCATTTAAAAAGTTTTGTATTATATAATATTTATAAATTTTGTATATTGAAAATCAATTTGAATTCATTGTAATATATATATATATATATTAATGTTTATTTATATGTTCTTTAATGTACTTGCTTTAAATTTAATTAATTATTTATTTCTTAGTATTTTAAATTGACAGATGTCACTCTCTCCATTGCTGATGTGTCATTCAGCTGGAGAGAGTTGATTGTCTTTTATATATAAAATTCAACAAGCTGAGCCTCCATAAATCACAAGAAAAAACCCATTGGGCTGTTAAATAAGTACTATATGAGAAACCCATTAAGAATGAGAATGAGGGAGAAAAGTGTGTGTATTTGAAGAGAACCAATAGTTATGCCTTGTATTAGTCTATTATGAGTCCTTCATTGGAATTGAAACATACGTTTCGCTCCTGCAATCCACAAGCTAGAGATGGTGAGGAGAGAATGGAGAGAGCAAGACCAATACGAGAACAGAGATTGGAGCTCCAGAAATTCTTATAGTTGGTGGTTTTTTTTAACAGCAAACAATTTTATTATTTCAAATTAGGATTATAAAGTTATACGGAATTTTTGGAAAACAAATTATTACAAAAGCAAAAAGCAGAGATATGCGTCATATAGTGAAAAAGAGACAATAAAAGAAGTGAATTTGATGATGTTTTCTGTAGATAAGTTTTACTCGCTAACGAATCATAAAATCCGTTATTTTCATTCTCTGTATTTAAATTTTTAAGAGAAAGTAAATGCCAAAGAAAGATGAAAGTAAAAAAAAAACCTGAATTACCTCTAATCTTTATTTAAACTATAAATGGGCCGAAATAAGTACGGATTGGCCCATTTGTCTCTTCTTCTCTTTCTTCTTTCTTCTTTCGCGCCAAATTTACCCTAATTGCCTTCTTCTTTCCCGCTGCTGTTTCGACAAGATTCCCAAATGCCAAAATACTAGCAAGTAATAACCAACACTCTTTTCTCCGGTAAGCAGTCTTTCTGGGCTAATCATCGCCTTCAAAAAATTGTAAGCTCTCCGATCGATTCCCTCTTGTTGTTTAAATCTAAAATTAATGCTTCCTTTTTGGTATCACTATATGATTCAATCCGATTACGATGTCTTTAGTAAGTCTCTGCTGCTTAGAAAAAAATTGGATTTTTCGTTAAACCCAGATTGCGAAGAACCCTCATGTCTTGTGTGAGGAAGATGACGAGAGAGGAGACTGAGAACAGAGCAGATGATATGATGATCGATGTACCAAAACCTAAAATCGAGAATCCCGACGAATTCAATGTTCATTACCTCCGAATTTACTACGGCAAGTTTATCATCACATTTTAGTCGTCTTCTCAAATCATTTCTGGTTTCGGTTTCGCTCAAGTGATGTATGCTTATTTATATATATCGCAGGAAATTTGTTTCCTTACACTGATATTCACAAATGGCTTTCGTACGGACACGGTACATTTGTTTGTCTTACTCTTTTTTTGTGTGTTTTTTCTTATGGAAGGAAGCTGTAATAATGACTAAATGGGCATATATAAATTGTAATCTGTAGATGGGAAGCATCCTGGTTGCGATGAATTCTACTTTGGTCGAAGGGAATTCTCATTTACGCTTGAAAACGATGTTTATTTGCGGTATAAGTCCTTCAAGAATGCTTCAGCTATGGGAGATGCGATAAAAGGCAATTTTCCATACAAGATTGATATTGGCGCTGTGTACAGCGTAGACGTAAGCGTGGAAATCGGTTTTTCTCATCTTCATCATCGGTGTGTGCTTAAGAAAGATATCAATTTACTCATTTTGAGCTTTATGGATGTTTATTTTTTTCAGCCAGATAAAAGACATGCCTATGCACAAAGTGGTACCAATGTGTTTACTCCAGTGGAGAGGGAGTTGGTCTTTGATATTGTGAGTTTTCATATCTTATCAACAATTCTCGGAACTATTCTCTTTTATGCTTATGTTTTACTTTGTGTTTTGTTTTGTTGCTTGACTTGAAAAGATATATTATTTTCTCAGGATATAACTGATTATGACGACGTTAGATATTGTTGCTCGGGAGCTGATGTTTGCTCCAAATGTTGGCCTTTAATGACTGTTGCTATCAAAGTCATTGATACTTCCTTAAGAGGTACCACACCACAATTGTTTTCTCAACTTTCAAATAGATCCAACTAGCATTATGTAGTGTTCCTGAGACTTCCCATCTCTATGAATTTTTTTGGTAGTATTAATATACCTTTGGGAATAGTTCTTTGCCAATGCGCAAGACTGTTTGGTCTTGTCTTAGGAAGAACAATGTAGTAACTTATTTTGATCTTGCCAATTGCAGAGGACTTTGGTTTCAAACATATCCTCTGGGTCTTCAGCGGGCGTCGTGGAGTTCATTGTTGGGTTTGTGATGCTAAAGCTCGAAGGTGAAACAATCACTGAACTGACCACTAACGCTTTCTGTAATTCATCATCTGCGTTATGAAATGAAACTCTTGTGTGATAACATCCTGCAGATTGACTAATGAACAAAGATCAGCAGTTGCTGAATACTTCCGTGTTTATAAGGTGGTGTTCTCAAGAGCTAAATTGTGCTTTTTTTTTTGTTTGGTTTCTGGCATTTCTTAAGTTTAGTTTGTTGTTTACGTGACACAGGGAAATGAAAACAATGCAAGAAAAGTCGCTCTTATGGGTTATTCTCTTCATCCGTTCCTTGCGTACGAGTTTCCTCCTTCACGTTTGCCTATCTGATTTCAATATCACTGTTTCTGCTACTAATTTCATACTGGGCTCTTTTCAGGAGATCGTATGTGGATTTTCTCAAGGATTTCTTTGAGGGTGAGTTACAGGCAACTCAAAGTATATTCTCAAGCAAAGAAAAGTATGAGAAGATACTTGAGATGATTTCAGATGAAGGTATGGATGTGCTATGGTGTATTTTTTTTCCAGCTTACGCGAGGTCCTTACCCTTTGTTTGCTCACTTACAATGATCTACATCTTCACAACAGATATTCAGTCAGAGCTCAGAGACAAGTGGGAGAATTCTGCGAGATCATCTCTATCAGAAGAAGCCACAAGCCGTACAAGGTGGGAGCAGCTTAAAAACACGCTTCACTCCAAGAAACAGAAGGTGTGTAATGTCTTTGATTAGATCATAGAAAAAAAAGATCTATGCTAAGTGTTTCGAAAAGCTTATCTGTGTTTCAGTCAGATTTTAGCTTGATGAACTTGAAAACCCGGATCTGCTCAATCGTCAATCTTGTATCCAAATGTTTCAGGCTCCAACACTGCGGATGTGCGTAGAGGAAATTGTCTTCACCTTTACGTATCCTCGAATTGATTTGGAGGTTTGTAAATATATATGGTACTTCACTGTGCGGTAAAGGTAGCTACTGACAAGTGAAGTGACTAATTTAGCTGTATGGTTCCTTGTTTAATTACAGGTCTCAAAACAAATGAACCATTTGCTTAAGGCACCCTTCTGTGTCCACCCAAAAACAGGTCCCTTCTCCGTTGATTCCTGAATATAACGCTCCAGTTGATAAGATTCATGTTCACACTTTAGAAATGTTTTCTGCTTTCCAGGTCGTGTCTGTGTTCCGATCGACCCAAATAACTGCGATGAGTTTGATTTATTGGCAGTTCCAACACTTTCACAGGTAAAATATTTGACAGTATATGGTGTACATTAGAGTGTGGATCTGAATTAGTTCATCACAACGTCATTATTCCTTAAGCTTATAGTTCATTTTCTAATGATTTTCAGCTAATTGAAGAGATCAACTCAGGAGGCTCCAAAATGGATGTGGATGAGGATGGTACGTTCTTAAATACAATTAAAGTTGAGATATTTTGGGACTAGCCTTTAGTAGCATTAAAAACTTTAGTTATACAACAACCTGCCAGATTCAGAGAGAAGCTTACTTGGGAAATCAATCAAGTTCTTCAGATCCTCTTTCCTAGAACCTTTGCTAAAATCCTGCAAGGCAAATCTCTCATTGCTCTAATTCTCTTTAAGCTTTTTTTTAATTATCCGAAAATATGTGAAAGGGCTCTGATGCAGCTGTTGGAAAAGTGATGATATGTTTGTTCATAAA